TCCTAGCAGTCCATGGTATATTCAACACTCTTCTCCAGCACCACAGCTCAAAAGCATCAATTCTCTTTCTATCATCCCTATTCACTGTCCAACTCCGATGCATAGCACATAATTGCAAAGACTATAGCCTGGATCAGGTGCATCTTAGTCTCCAGCCTGACGTAGTTCATTGAAAAATCTGCTGTAGCTGAGGAATTAATAGTGGGATGTAAGACTAAACAATAGGTTGTTATATTACTTCATTTAGAGCATATGAATTTGAATTTGGTGAAGACATGCAGATGGCCCTAGACACTGAAATCCTTGGGATTACTGAGGGTCAAGAAGAGAGTAGTTAGTGCAGGTGTTCTTAACCTGGTGTCATCAGGAACATTTCCAGGGCCCCACAACACACTTGAAAAATGAGTAAACACTCAATGAACGACTAGTCTATTAAAGCACTTCTTAGGATGGTATTTATGACAAGAAAATAGACAGCCAATACTTATTTTACATTCTTGTAGGCAACAGGTAATATGGACAAGTCAATAAATGAACAAGACAATTTCAAAGGCTGAGAAAGCCTTAGGAAGATGATAAAAGAGGATAATACAATAAAGGGCATTAATATCTACTGTAGTGACAGAAGACACAGAATATCTAAGGAAGTAGCATTTTAAGGGAATGACAGAGCTAATCAAGTAAAGACTAAGGGGATGTGTCCTGAGTAGTATGATTTGTTAGGAAAAAGATTGGAATTCAACAGATCCATGACCCTAATAATTTCTGGAAGTTTAGGAGCGGCTGCTCAAATACCACTTCTTAAACACACAATGAGTTCTACAAGGATAATGATGTAGCTACTACGAAGTGAAAGACTTCCTCACAAGAATAAAATACTGCTAGCTTTGAGGTTCAGTGGTGTCGTGGGGAAGCCCTGATGGTGCAGTGGTGAAGGAATTCAGCTGCTAACCAACAAAGGTCTGAAGTCACCAGTCAGCCACCCCATGGGACAAAGACACGGCAGCTGCTCCGTGAAGATTTACAGCCTCAGAAGCCCTGGTGCAGTTCTACTCTGTACTACAGGGTCACGCAGAAATGGACTCCATGGCATGGGTGGGTAATAATGGGGTCTACTCATTACCATGTCCAAAGAAATAGGATCTCAGAAGTATTTAACTTTAAAATAGCAACTTTAGAAACGGAATTGTAGACTTAGTAAAATAAACTGTCTTATTATTTGAAAGTAGTTGGCCTCTCAGTTTGGAAGTACGAAACAACAACTACAAACACAAACACACACTCTCTCTCTCTGACCAGATCATGTCACTGTAATTACAAAGCACCATCCATCCTGAAAGCAGAGAAAGTACTTCTTAAGACTTACCTTTACAGAAGCAGCAATTTCCTGTATTCCCTTAGCAGCAGCGTTTTTTATGATTGGTGTGATTAAGCCTTTATCTGTTGCCACAGCCACTGAAATGTCAATAAAGGGCAATTGCTTTGGGCCCTCTCCATCCCAGCTTACATTAACATCTGGCATTTGCTAGAAAAAAAGAAATCGTGATTATAGAACTTGTGATTACAGAAGAAGCCTGTAGACTGAGGTGGTGCTGTTGTGTGTCCTTGAGCTGGAATTGACCCGTACCAGACCCTCCGGCAGTTTTTCAGAGGCATGGGAAGAGAATGTCCATCCTTCTCCTGTGGAGTGGATGGTGGACTCAAACCGCATACCTTCAGGACTGTAGCACAGTTTCTTACCATTAGGTCACTAGAGCTTCCTTATAGACTGAGATGGTGACAGAAAATAAGTTACACTGTTATAATCCATTTTCTAAAGGGAATATGGCAAAACAGGGAAACATAAATTAAAATGTTGCTTAAAAATAAGGTTTGGATCTCTGTTATCAAGGGGTTTTTTTACATTTTGGAGGGATAATGAAACATATCTCTCTGAAGTGTGGCAAAATTCTGATGCTGTGGAACATGCTTTGATCTGTTTCAAGTATGGCTAACAAGAAGCTTCTTTTGTTAAATCTGAATTCTGGATTCTATATTTCCTGCCTCAAAAGATGGCCTTTAAGGGGAAGGAGAGAGAAAATAAGTGACAATAGTCAATCACATTATTCCTTTGGCAACCAGAGAAGGAAGTGGAATCTGCTAGTACAGGCCTGTAATACAGTAATAGGCCCTTATTAAATGACTTCTCAATTTAATACAGATTCCCAAGCTTCAGAAATACTTTACATGAGCATGTATATTTATCATGCTTAGTAGACATGTGTTTATTTAGTATACAACTAACACTCATCATCATAAAAGCAGATTAAACAACTACATACTGTATGTTGATAAACAGAATAAGAAGTTGAAAAAGAAAAAAGAATTTGCTTTACCCCCTTCAGATTTAAGAACCAAGCCTTCCAGCAAGCCATTTTAGCACAACAATATAAAACTTGCCTCTACCTGACCTATTTGATTTTGTTCCTGAACCCCTAAGGTGAATTTTTCCATTTATTTGGGCTTTTTATTCTCATACTATGCTCATTTCTATCCCAGTATTACCTTAACATCACTTTTCAAATATTTTCTTTATGTGTTCCTCAAGGTCAAGCTCCTTGATTCATTCAATAATACCATTATCCAGTGTTTCTGGTATTAGTTTTTATTTGCACACAATCATTCATATATGTTTCCTTCATGTATATTGGTTTATAACTTTCCTATCCCGTATGTGCCAGGAATATTCATCAATTAACTAAATAAATATGTGTGCATCTGAACATATGTAACCAGAGAACAAAAACCACACCAAAATCTCTCCTATATTCTTGCTCTATGTTTTAGTTTAACTAAATAACTTATATTAGTATATGTCACATTCTGGTGGCTTATGACAGGTAATTCAATATATTGGCAAATCCCATTTGGTTCTACCTTTGAAATAGAACCCAAAACCCCTACTTCATCCCAGGTCCATAAGACCCTTTACTCCAAGCAACTGGTGCCTGTCTGCTGAGGTAAGTGCAGGCTCCTAATGGCTCAGACCGCTTTCACTTGCAGCCTACACTGCACACTGCCGAGTATCACTTACGGTGTCACTGCTGCCGACTCATAACTGACTCTCAGCCACTGTAAACCATACTGGGGGTGGTGGTGGTGGGTTTTCCCATCATTCTGCCTTGGAAATTTAGTGGAATTGCCAGAGGTGCCATCTTTGGGTTGGCAGCATAACCCCCTACCAACTATGCCAGAAGAACTACAAAGCAGTCTCTATTTTTTTCTTTTACAGTATAAATCAGATGTTAGTCCTTTGCTCTAAACCCTCCTTCAAAGGCTTTCTTCTTACTTATCATAAAACTCTCAGTTCCTTTTTTTAAAACAGTTAACAAAGCTTTACAGAGCTCGCCTTCTTTGCAGTTTCATCTCTTACCCCTTTCCACCCTTGCTAACTCCACTGGAGGCACATGATCCACACTCATTGCTGCTTGAATAACCTAAGCCACACTCGCAGTCTTTGATCTGCTTTTCCCTTTGGAACAAAAAGGCCACGGTGAAATGCTAACCCAAAGGCTGGTGGTTCAAACTCATCAGGGCCTCTGAGGGACAATGACCTGGAGACCAGCTCCTGTAAAGATCACAGCCTGGAAAACCTAGTGGTTTTCTGTCACATGGGGTCACTATATGAGTTGAAAATAATGTGATGAGACTCCATGACAATAGCTGCCTGGAAGATTCTTATACCAGATACAGCTACTTGGGTCATGTTCCTTCTTTCAAGTATCTATCACACTGCCAGAGAGTTTTTCCTCCCTAATTTTGGAAACGAGCATCCATAGTGAATTTGTCTGCTTACCTTGTTTTATTTTTCTTTTAAGCATTTTAATTATTTGATATATGTTTGTTTCTCCCTACTAGTATATAAGGGAGCTCTGGTGGCTGAGTGGTAAGAAGCTCCGCGGCAATCTTGAAGGCACACGGTTGAATCCACCAGTTGCTCTATGAGAGAGAGAGATGAGCAATGTCCTTTCATGTGATTTACTGTCTCGGACTGAAGCTGGTCCCAATTAAATGGTACTAAACAACAACAACTAGACTATAAAGGAACTCTGGTGGCCTGTAGACATTTCTCCAAGGTATGTCTTAAAGAAAGTGCAGCCAGAATTCTTCTTGGAAGCAAAGATGGCAAAGCTTCAGCGCACATATTTTGTGCATCTTTTTAGGGGAGACTATTCCTTGGTAAGGGACAACATGCTTGGAACAGTTGAGGGCAGAGGAACACCCTTAATAAGATGGAGTGACACCGTGATTGCAGCAGTGAGCACAAATATACCAGAAATGATGAAGAAAGCACAGGATAAGACAGGTAGTTCAGATCTGTCGGTCACAGGATCACTACAAGTCATACTTGAGTTGACAGCACCTAACAACAACTGGTGGTCTACTAGTAAGAAATTGTGCTGTCAACCCAAAGATATGTGGTTCCCATCCAACAGCTGCTCCTCGGAAGAGAGGCAGCAAATCAACTTCCGTGTAATTAAATACCTCTTAAAACTCGCTGAAGGGCCAGCTATGAGTCAGTCCCAAATTGAGGTAGACAACAATAACAACAACAACAATAACAACACTAGAATACAAGCCCCCAGAAAGTAGTAGCTATGCTAATTTTTGCTCATTGCTATAGGGTTTAATGAGTATTAGATGAGTAGTGTGTCTTTATTCCGTTATAATTGGTTGAAACTTCTTATAAGTCTGTTTCTTCACATGTAATATGAGGGAGATGAAATTATAGAAAATTTTTAGTAATGAAAAGGTTTCACTATGGAAACCTCAAGATTATTTTTTTAAAAAAACTTTAGTTCTAAAATTTCTTTTATCTAAATTTTCAAATTTATTATCAATAATACAGATACATTATTTTTAATAAAGCTAACATAACCTTGACTCCAAAACTTAGAAATGATACTAAAATATAGGAATACTATAGGTAGTTTTCTCTCAGAAAATATTACTTTAAAATTTAAAATTACTTGAAAGCTGCTTACCTTAAGAGTGACAGCTGCTGCTTTGATGATAAAATCATTTACTGATACTTTAATGTCATCTGAAAAAGAATAAGCAAGTTAACATTAGGATTAATAACAAAACCATACAATGACCATTATGTCAAATTTATAAATTATAGGCTGCAAAAACAATGATGAAAAATATTACAAGGTATTTTGTTTGGCTTGTTGTTCATTTGCTAGGTCAAGGTAAGTCTTGCTTGCAAAATCTTTCACTATATGTTTTAGATAAGTAATATTAACTATAAACATAAAATTTCACTTAACTTTATGAAAAACTTTTAGAACCACTCAAGGACCAGACATAAGGACCTGAATGTTATATTACCATTACAACTAGAGAGAAAGTAACCAATTTCAATACTGCTAAAAAACCCAATGGTCAGTCCATCTGCGGGGCACACAGACAGGAAGGTTACAAGATAATTTATTTCTCTCATCCTTTTAAAATGTTCTAATATTTGTCTGCTTTATAATAAACTCAACATATTAGATGAGTGGTACATGTAGTTACTTTAGACACACACATTTATATACACACACACACACACACACACACACACAATGCAGATAATTTATGTGTTTTACTACTAATATTACTTTATTTTTACTTAATGGAGTGTACAATAAAAAAATCTGTAGATCACTGCATCTCATAAGGGTTGCTTTTTAAATGGACAAAACAGGATACAGCAGAGGCCAACAATGAAGCAATGTTGGCACAGGTCCTAGTTCAATGACTAAAAGGAGGGTCTCTGTCTAATGTGAATTCATTTGAATCAATTTCTTTCCAGTATCCATAATGATTTTAAGATCAAACTGGGGTCCCATCCTTTTACACATAACTAAAGCATTCGACTTATACTTTTGCTCCTCCCTGTGGGTATGGGAAGTGTTGAAAATCCAAACTACATTTGGCTCTTCTGGTAAGTTTCAAGAAAAAGACATTAAGATCAAGATATAGTCAACGGTATGTGACAGGATATACAAACCCTGTTATTGCAGTATCATGGGATTTTATATGGACAGATAACTCATTCGAAAAGCATCCTGGAGATTTCAGAACGAGATTAGATGCATTAACATAAACCTATTAACACTGCCAAACTGTCACAGTAGCTGCCAGTTGCCTAATATTCCAACTCTTCTAATTCATTTTCCAGAAATATATAGATCTTTGTCTATGAAAATACTTTTAGAAGCAGAATACACATGCCTTGAGAGATTTATGATCACATTCAAAAGATAAAAACAGCAAAAATTCAATTATAATTAAAACAGAATATTTAAGAACTGATTATGCTTTTACCTCTCATGGTTTCTTCAGCAGCCTTGAGCTCAATTTAACACCTAAAGTCAAGATCCTAAGACCACCTACCAAGCCAAGAACTGCTAAGTCTACCCAAGTCCAGAATTTTCACCCAGAAGTTTCTATTCTAACTAAACATTTAGAAGTTTTGTTGTTGGTGGTTTTTTTTTTTTTTTTTTTTTAAAAAGGAGCATTCTTGAGTTTATCACTTTCTTCATCTTGAAACACTTTCTCTGGCTGGCGCCCATGTCACTATCTTTCCAATTATATGTTTAATAGGAATCTCAAATTTATGTATACTTTTTAAAGACTCATCAGAAAATTCCTAGTGGTAAGAACATACCAAATCTGGATCATGTAAAGATACTAAATCTAGACTGGCCTGGAATACTACTACCTCCAGTTTCATAAGAGAAAACACTTATGGCGAAGAAGTCATAAAAATTATTCCTGTAATAATGGCCTTCCTAACCCATGGGTTTGACTTTCACAAGATTTTGCGGGTGTCAAGTTTGTTTGTTTTTTGCTATGGATATGAAGGACGTTAACAGCACCTTTTGAGTGAGAATATGGAAACAAGGTGTGCAGAAGACTACTAATGAGGAGGTTAATCAGTTTGGTCATAAATTGAACAGGTTTAGAGACAGAAAAAAAGAAACGAAATAAGCATGAAAGAAGTGGACAGTCCAGTACACATACATTTGGACTAGAGATTCCTGAGTCAGAGATTCCTCTCACCAGAGGAGAGAGTAGCAGCAGCAGCCAACAGTGAATCAGAGACCAACGTGAGACAGAGCTAAACCAAGAGCTGCTTCACAGATGTAGAGGCCAGAGCTAAGGGCCTTTACTCAAGCCTGCTGGAAGACTAGGGATGCGGTAAGGTACGGTGTGTGTGCCATAACTGGCACTAAGACTATGAGAGCTTAAGTCAGAATGTCTGCGGGTACATCTGAGAAGCTGTCTTAACTAAATGAATGTATCCTGTACCCAACTAGAATTGTAACCTATTAACTTCTCTAATAAATCTCTGTAAAAGGAGCAGACACAACATGGGGCTGAGTATGACTTCTATCTGCTTCATATAGGAAGGAGAACTGTCCCCATCAATAATATCTATATGACTAAACAAATAGCTACATGGTCAGACATGCTACCCCACATACTCCTGCATATATTTCTACCAAATATTGGGCCCAATGTTTGTCACAGTTTGACTTATAGCCTTTACTCACAGTTGTGGGGTTTATGGAAAAAAAAAAAAAAAGAAAGAAAGATGGGGAGTAAGGGAGGCAAAGAACATCATACTATCCAAGTCCATGTTAACAAGGCACAATCCTCAATTAGTAAAAGTTCCAGTGGTCTCTTCAATCATCCAGCAAACTTTATCTCAGAGCAGTTACAAGTCAGCTTTTCCTTCCATCATCCAACAAGCAAAAGTTTTAACTGTGGCTCCATCTCCAGGATTCCTCTGGTTACACCTTGCCACAGTCTCTTAACCCTCTGTCCACTATTGTTTTTCAGTATGGAAAGTGCTCTCTTATACTGGTCCCATAGTTGTTGATGATTTGTAAGATCATGTGTCCACAGTCAAGGTAGCTAGAGATCATGCCCTCAATGGGGGCTAATGCAATGGATAGGAAAGCCAATTTTCAAGGTTTCTGATACCATAATTCCATAATCATGAGTATGTCTCTGAATTCTGAATGGCAGCACTGGATTAGCTGGCCAAGTAGCAGAGCTGTAAGAGGTTATGCTAGAATTAGTAGAAGTAGATGTGCAGGCATGTTTGAGATCTTATCTTTCGCTCTCATTGCCACTGAGTTGAAAAGGACTCAACTGACCCACGAGTATGTTTTCAGAGGGTATAAATCATACGAGAGAAGAAGGCTGTCCATCTTTCTTCTGCAGAGAAGCTTGTAGATTAGATCTGCCTGTCTTTAAGCTGGCAGTGGAACTCACTAGCCACTAGCCCAGAAGGGAACTAGGGTTCCCTTCTGACCTCATAGGAATTAATTTTGCACTGTTGACACTGTGCATGGAGACTGTCCACCCCTGAGGACTTATTAAGAGGTCAGCTGCAGTTTCCCTCAAGCCATCCCTATTGTTTTCACAAAGACCAACAAAGAGAGCTTTCAAGGATTAATTTTTCAGAAAACTGATTACTTTGTCTGGAGTAGTTTTCTAATGGGTTTCTTGAACTTTTAAAAACTGTGAAGCTGTTTTAATTTGAGATTCTGTCTGTATCTAAAAGCCGTAGAGAAAAATTACTCCTATCCTAAGGAGAAAAACCAGGAGAAACAATATTTTACTTTTTTTTCTGGAGGGATCCTATTGGGAGCTAAGGTCACAAAGCAAACAAGTAAACTGAATTACAAAGGGAGATAATCCCTCTCTGAGATGAGAAAAACACAGGAAGTGATTGATTAATCAATGTCAAGAGAATCTAAGTATCCAGGACATTTATCAATGTGTAAAGTGCCCCAAGAATTTTCTCAACCTTTTAAAAGGCACTGATATAATACCTATAACCAACATTAAAGATTCGATATTTCCTTCAAGATCAATAAGACAAGGACATCTGCATTATTAGCTATACCCACCATTGTACAGGAGACTTTAAAGGCATATAAATTAGAACTCAAATTTACAGTTGGCAAGTGGATTCTAACTCAATGCAATCCTCCATCAGTTTCCGAGGATGTAAATCTTTACAGGAGACTGCCCTTCATTCTCGTGCAATGTGTGTGTGGGCAGGATTTGAACTGCTGTTCTCATAGTTAACAGTCTTACACTTTACACACAAGGGACTTAAAATCATTTCTCTCTGCAACTTTTTACTTTTAAATGATTGAGAGAAATAGTACATATTTATTTAGTACAAATTATAAATAACCTGAAGGCATTCAGAAGAAGAAACATAAAATGAAAAGAGTATCTCTCTCTACTTACAATCTAACATATGCTTAAATCGGCTTTGGATTTATACTTGCTTTCATGTTCTAAAATATTAAGGGTGCTCTGTTTAGGTACTATGACAAAGTATTTGGAAAGCCATTCAAAACAAAAACAGTAACAACTGTTGGGCCCAGGGAAATAATTAGTAACTCTGAGAAAAGAAAAATATCTACGCTTGTGAGAGCAAAAGCAAATAAAAACTAAGACCATTCTTACTTTTTTAGAAAGACAGAAGGAACAAAGACTAAAAATCAACAGTACTATTTGCACAGCAACTCAGCATCAATGCCTGCTTCCTGAATGAATGTTAACCAAATGCACACTCTTTAAATATGACAAGAGAAGAAATAAACGGAAGGCAAAACAGAAATCCTTGCTCCACATAAAAGTAATATATCCCTGTTTTATTCAGTGCTTGGAACCAATTTATTTCTAACAGAAAAATAGACCCAGTTTCTTTCTCTAACATTAAAATACTGAGTACAAGCAGATTTTGAAACTGAAAGAAAACGCTACACCATGAGGATTTTATAAATAGGATTTCATGATAGTTAACACGTGTGTTACATCAAATAAATTCAATTTTACTAACCTTTGACCAGATTTTGTCTTACTTTTAAAACAGCCCCAAGGTCACAGTCAGCAGTAGCATAAGCATGTGGTACAGTACTTTTTGATTCAGTTAACCTTTTGGCAATAACTCTTCGAATATTGCTAGCAGGGATTTCAGAGAATGTGCCCTGAAAAGAAACAGCAAACTGTCCAGTAAACTACAGCAGAATGAAGGAAAAACCCAACAAGTGTAAAACTTCATAAATAGAATTCTGTCTCAGTGGCCTAACTTATAATTGATAATACAGAAGACAAAACTAATTTTCAATACTATTTTAAAAAATTTTAGCATGAGAAGCTACTTAAGGAAATCTGAGTTGTGGTTTTATAGTCTGTGACTTTTGATAAAAGCAGTACAATTCACGTTTCAGTTTCAAATGGGGCACTTTCTGTTACTATGCTTGTTGCTGTTGTCGTCATGTGCCATCGAGTTGCTTACAATTCACAGTTACCATATGTACTAGAGCCCTGAAACCTGCTCTATCCTGTGGCAACATCACTGTTTCTGACACATCTACCCCCATTACCCCAGTCACTGAATCAATCCATCTCATCAAGGGTCTTCCTTTCTTGTGTTGCCTGTCCTTCCACCCTTCTATGCATGATGTCCCTCTCCAAGGACTGGTTCTTGCAACATGCCCAACCTCTGAATCTTTGCTCCAAGGAGGAGTCTGGTTTCACTCTCTCCAGGAGGTATCTATTTGTTCTCCTAGAGTTCACGGTATGTTCAATACTCTTTTCCAGCACCATAGCTCAAAGACACCAATTCTCCTTCTATTATCCTCTGTCATTGTCCAGCTTTCTGATGCAGAGCAAGTAACTGCGTACTTTGGCCTTGGATCAGGCAGACCTGAGAATCCAGACTGACATCATTACTCTTGAGCACTCTGGAAAGGTCCCTGACAGCATATTTTCCCAATGCAATTTGTCTTTTAGTTTCCTGGCTGCAGGTACCAAGAGTGTTGATTGTAGAGCCAAGCAAACTAAAGCTGTTAACAATCTCAATCTTTTCACCATCTATCATGATGTTGCCAATTGGCCCAGTGGTGAGAATCTCTGTTTTCTTGATGTTGAGCTTCAATCCATATTGAAGGTTGCAATCCTTGAACTGCAAGTGCTCCAGGTCCTCCTCAGTTTCAGCAAGCAGGGTTGTGTCATCTGCTTAATGCAAGTTGTTGAGTCTTCCTCCAATCCTGGTGCCACAATCCTCTTCATAGAGCCCAGCCTCCTGGATGATCTGTTCTGCATACAGACTGGAAAAGTATGGCGACAGGACATATTCCTAGCGTACACCCGTCTTGATTTTGAACCATGCAGTGTTTTCCTGCTCTGTTTTGACAAGTGCCTCCTGGTCCAAATATAGGTTTTCATAAGCAAAATCAAAAGTTCTGGGATTCACATTCTTCTCAGAGTTAGCTACAGTTTGTTGTGATCCACACAGTCAAATGCCTTTGCATAGTCTATGAAACAGATAGATATTTCTCTGGTACTCTCTGCTTTCAGTTAAGATCCATCTAACATCAGCTATAATATCCCAGTACCACAGCTTCTTCTAAACCCATCCTGTATATCTCACAGTTCTCTGTTGATGTGCTTCTCTGGTCATTTTGCATAATTTTCAGCAGAATCTTGCTTTCATGTGATATTAATGATACTGTTCAATAATTTCTGCACTGTCAGGTCATTTTTTCTTAGGGGCGGGAACAAGTACAGATCTCTTCCATTCAGCTGGCCAGGTGACTGTCCTCCACATTTCTTGGCACACCTTGGTGAGCACATCCAGGGCAGTATCTGTTTGTTAAAATATGTCAACTAGTGTGACATCAATTCCTGGGTTCTTGTTTTTTGCCAATTTTTTCAGAGAAGCTTGACTCTATTCCTTCTTTACCACAGGCTAATATGTTGTTTCACAAAATTTCTTCTGTGTCCTCCAAATCTTTTTGGTACAATGACTCCGTATCCTTTTTTTAATGCTTCCTCGACCATTTAATATACTGCCCAAAACATCCTTAAATATTCCAACTCAAGGCTTGAATTTGTTCTTTAATTCCTTCAGCTTAAGAAATGTTGAGTGAATTTGGCCCTTTTGATTTTCTTACTCCAGCTCAATCTTTGGACATTTCATTACAATACTTTTGTCTTCCCACACTGCCCTTTGAAATCTTCTGTTCAACTCCTTAATTTCTTGATTACTTCCCTTTGCTTTGGCTTCTCAGCACTCTAGTGCAATATTCAGAGTCTCTTCTGATATCCGTCTTGTTCTTTCTCCTCTGGCTTTGTAATGACTTTTTGCATTCTTCATGGATGATATTCTTTATATCCTCCCACAGCTCATTTGGAGCTTTGCTCATTGGTGTTCAAGGCCTCAAACCTGTTCAGAGGTGCTTTTAAAATTCAAGTGGGACAGACTCAAGGTCAAAGTTTGGTTTCTGTGGATTTAATTTCCTTTAACTGCAGCTTAAACTTGCATATGAGTAGTTGGTGGTCTGTTCCACAATCAGCACATGGCCTAGTTTTCACATCTGGTATTGAGCTTCTCCAGTGATTCTTTACACAGATGTAATCTATTTGATTCTTATCCATACCATCAGTTGAAATCCATGTGTATAGCCTGCATTTATGTTTCTTATAAAGAGTATTTGCAATAAATCAATCACTGAAGTACAGAATTCTATCATTCTATCTCCAGCTTCATTTCTGTTACCAAGTTCATATTTTCTGACTATTGATTCTTCTCTATTCCCAACTTCTGCATTCCAGTCGCTCACTACTAATACATCTTGATTGCATGTTTGATCGATATCTGACTGCTAAAGTTGGTAGAAATTTTCTAGTTCTTCCTCTTTGGCTCTGGTTGCTGGTGCATATTTCTGAATGATAGTGGTATTCCCTGGACTTCCTTATATGAGTATGGATAATATCCTGTCACAATATAGTATTTCAAGATGGATCCAGAAATTACTTTCTTAACCCCTTTTTTCCTCACCTTTTCATTTCTGGCATAGAAGATCACATGATCATCTGATTCAAAATATCCCATCTCATTTCGCCAATACCTAGTATGTCAATATTTATGCACCCCATTTCCTTCTCAAAATAATGAAAGTAAATCTACCAAATCATACCACAAAGGAAGTATTCAGTGCTTAGGACAATCAACTAGTTGCAGACTTCAGGGTAAGTTAAATCTGAATAACTGACATTATTCAGTTATGTATCAGAATAGTGCAGATTATTAGTTCCAGGTTACCAAAATAAAGTGAGTATGACAATAAAGGGAGCCACATGAAGGTGTTAGCTTTCCAGAACACATTAAAGTTATGCTTCCATTGCAGTATCATCTATTAAGTGTGCACCAGCCATTATAGTATTTTGAAATACTGTGGATTATCAAAATGGAATGAGCACATGCCTTGGGAAAACCGACACCCAACACACTTGATCAGTTAAGAGCTGTAACCTTCAATGAACCATGAAAAGCAAAGTGCAATAAAACGAGGTATGGTTTGCATTTGGAAGTTAGCACTTTACAGATAAACTTTGTTTATGCTTAGAGATATGCAAATAAAGTATCTGAAGTGTCTGGGTTTTTTTTCTCTTTATCACTTTTAAATACTAACACAGTGGACTGGTAAAAGTACTTATAAAACAAACATTAATATCTTAATATTTCTTCTCTAACTCTCCTGAAAATGAAAAATCCACTTGGAACTTCCTCTATATTTCCTTTCAAGGAGGAAGGTCTGTCCCTTCCTCTGGGATGTAACTTTCTAGTAAATCTATCTTTAAGTTTTACCTTAAAAACAAAATAACAACCAACCACAACTATTTGGATGACATTACCACTGCATTAGGCTGTCCAGGAATTGAGACTGGTGGGATCATTGGCCGAGGATAGGATGGCCCTGTGGTGGTCGGGGTGGGTAAAGGTGCTGTGGGAGTGGCTGGAGGGGCAGGGGCAGCAGGCGCTGGCCTGGACTCGGCAATCTTGCCCATCTTTTTCAACTCCACCAGCTTGAGGGCGTCTCTGGAGAGAAAAATGGAATTAGATAACTCTTGTTTAGCAACAAAATTAGCTTTTAGGAAACAGAGATGAGATGAAGAGGATAACATATAAATATATAAATGTGAAAGCTAATAATTCAAAAACGAATTATTTGAGCTGGAAAGTGAATTTTAGTCTCTACCCAGTGTTAAGTACTCATGTATACCCTCCAAAACATGTGCTGTAAATCATAACCCAGATACGTGTGGATATAATCCTATCAGGGATAGATGTTTTCCTTCTTATGTTAATGAGGTTATTACCATTGTAGGATGTGTCTTAAGCCAATTGCTTTTGAGATATCAAAGAAGCAGTATAAACTCAGAGACAAGCAAGAACACACTGGGGAAGACGTGTGGTAATCAAGGAGGCAAAGCCTTCAATAGAGCCAGTGCGTTATATTTGGCCTTCTAGACTTCTATTTGTGAGAAGATAAACTTGTTTGCTAAGGCCATCCATCTGTGGTATTTCTATGACAATAGCACAAATAAACCAAGACAGGGGATTCATATTAACTGTTCACTGGTTAAGATACTTGTACATTTTCAAAATCTAAACAATTATAATTTTATCACAGTGCTTGTATAGATAGTAATTTTTAAGTTGTTTTGGGGGCAGAGAGGGTACAGTTGGTAATTAAGAAAACCACATCTGCCTTTTTTATACTTATGAAATAATATTTTCAAGACAATAAGGTATCAAGTTCATTGTAGTTATCACTTAGAACTTTTACTAAAATTTATATAAATCAGTATTTATAGCCAATAGTTATGGAAAATGACTAACTACAGACTTGCCTCTGCCATCTCTCTGTAAAGCAAAGGTTACCTTTGTATTTTACAGGATATAATTAGACTGCGAAGTATGCCAAATCCTCCATTTACTATGCTGTTACAGTGGGATATAAATTAACACATTCTCTTAAAATAGCTTTTTGGAACATTTTAACATCTTACGACAACTAATTGAGAAGAACTTTCCAATAAATTAAAAAACTCATTTGCATAATTTAAAAACAACTTCAGGGTGAAACACAGCTAAAAGGGATTTTAAAAATTTCTCAAATATAGTTACTATTTTGGTACTGTTTACCAAAGAACTAAAAAACAGGAAAAGCCCACCATTTGTTGAGCATATTTCAGATGACAATTCTCTTCCCCCAAAACAAATCAAGTGACACAGAGAAACAAGGCAGTAAAGTAGGCAGAATTCTGAGAAGGCCTGGCCTGGAGTCTTCATTACATAGAATCTCAGCAAGGAAAGGCTGGGCTGTAAATTTTACTTTATTACCTATGAAAAAAGTCATGACTAGGTCAGTATTTCTCAAGGACCTACTATATTTCGGGTGTTGGGAGTACAAGGGGAACAAGGCATTCAAGGAACTTGGATTATACATTAAGCAGGCAGCTTAATTTCATCTCAATTACAAACGTTAACAGCTAACATTTGGGGGGTACAGTGGCAGTAGTTAAGATGGTGATACTCTGTAGAGACTACAAAGCAAAGAATACAAAAACTGTGTTCTTCCTAAGAAAGACCCAGCATTTGCCTTCCTCAAATGGTCACAAGTACTTCTCTTACGTACAGAAGTAAACTATGTATGTTTCTGTAAATCGATTCTGAGCAACAGGGAGCTGTGGTGGCCAAATGATAAGGAGTTTTGCTGCAAACCAAAGGCACACAGTTTGAAATGAGGAGCTACCCTGTGGGAGAAAGATGGGCATTCTCCTCACATGTGATTAACTGCCTCTGTAAACCCACATGGAGGGTCGGTCAGCAGTACACCACTACCACCACCACCACCACCACCACAACAACATTCTGAGCAATACCTGTGTCTTTATGTAAAATAAAGCAGCAACCTGACACCTCTGGTTTTCTTCATAAATATAATGGATCAGAAATGCTTCCTCAGGGGTAGAACTGAGTTTTCTACTCCACCTTCATATCAGCTGACAAACTGTAGAGGAAAACTGTCCATCACTATTTCAAGAATTTGAGGGTGGCTTCATGCCAAAGCCTGCAAATTTTCAGTCATATCAGAAGATGACACTTCTGTAGATAATAGCAGGCCATAATGTTCCAAAGGTCACCATAATGTTGAAAACACAGGCACCTTTAAAGTCAGGGGCCTTCAATAATGCATGCTTTATGGATCTACTTTTCTCTTGAAACTGTCTGAAGGGTTTCTTACTTTAAAGGCCCACATCCAAAGACTGAATTCCTTAACTGGGGGAAGTTTCAGAATGAGGGCAGTGAAGAGAATTGGGAAGTAGGCTGAAGAAGAAAATTGCAAAAAAAGAAAAGAAAAGAAAAGAAAAAAAGAAAGAAAAAGCCCCACCACATAAAAAAAACCCCCTCTTTTAGTATCACTATGGTATCTATATCTATTTTTTGTTATGTTACAGTGCTAATATAACTCATGCTCATTATATGTGTATTAAGTATTTGGGGAATTGTTGTGCATCATGGTGTTAGTACCAACTCACAGCTGACCCTCAGCAGGCTTTCAGACAGTCAAGTGCATGCAAGGACACTGCAAGGACACTGCCCTTCTTGTCTCTTACATTAGGGAAATGGAAGAAAAGATTTACTTCTTCAGCTGCCACACTAATGAAATGCCCTCTAAAAGGTCGCCTAATCTCAAAAACCCTTTCTTAGACCTCATCTTCTGTGGCCCCACCACAACAGGATTTTCTTGAATTTGGTAATGAACTCAGCCGGGCCCCCTAGAGGATCTCTGAGGCTATACACTACATGGGTGGAGATTGCCCGTTTTCCTCTTGGAGCTACAGTAGATCAGAATGACAATGGGGTGAAGCCTTTAGTTAAGCAGTGTAATGCCCTACGGACTACAGCAACACATGTAATAAAATACTCATCAATTTCTACATGTGTAATTCAGTGACACTGCTTACATTCTACAGGATGTTACACAATTCTTCTCCTTCACCAAACTATCCAGCCACCATGAAGATGCACTCAGCATCTTCAAGAAGGACTTTGACTACTACAGCCTCATTACACTTCTGCTTACTAGTCTGACCCTTAATTCTTCGCCACCTTCCAAGAATGCTACTCAGCATTCACGGACACATGCGCTGTCAGGCTGCGCAGGATAGAGCATCCTTTCAGAAACTTAGCAATAACCAAAGGAAAAAAAGGATATTACATGTTTTAGAAACAACTGAATAATTATTTCAAATAAACTTAGAACAATATAAAGCCCACTGTCTAGCATTTATCACCATTCTAAAAGATCCAGTTCACTCATTAAGGCAAGAACTGTTTCTTCAGGAATGCTACTAAATATTGCATAGAAAAAAACAAATCTTGCAATTCTAAGTACAAAAGGAGAATAAAACGATTATTGTAGAATGCGTGTGAGGATCCGAGGTAGAGGGAGGGTGGAAGCAGAAGGGTGAGGATGTGCGGGGGTTAGGGGGGTAATTATAGGGTGGCACAATTTGATGGGTGGAGGGTAAGGAAAATAGGAAGGAAATGGTGTGAAAAACAATGTGTTTGCATTCTAGAAATAAACCAGTGTGTATATATACAAAGTACAAAAGGAGACTCACTTTCTTTTAAATCTTAACACTGAATAAGCTTATTCTGAAACACATTTAGAAAAAAAGATGTTCATGATAAATGGAATTGGTTAATACAAAACCCCACACATACTCTTTAGTGAATATTCCCCGAGGGCCAGTCGCTGTGCCTTGGCTGGCGTCAAGTGCATGTTTATCCAGAATATTACGAGCAGCCGGACTTAAGCGAAACCTAAGAAGGAAACGTGAAGATTAATCGAACTGATTAGCATTTCTATTGGATTCAAATACACGTAAATATCAAAAGTCGTGTTGATAATAAGAAAAAATAAAGTCTTATAAAGTTAAAATGACTTCCACAGATGGGCATAGTCAAATAATTTTCATTAATCTGGTTTACTTTATGAACATCTTCATAAAAATCTAACTACTCTTTGAAATACTTTTTTTTTTTAAAAAGAAAAGTAAATTAATACTCATTAGTGGAGAAAGGTTACATTTTGACTCAATCTTTTTAAATGTAGTAACTGTCCAGGCAACTATCAGTAAAAACATAACAATATTGTTGCTTTACATTTTTAAGTCTTTTGTATTTACTTTAAAACACTTTTACTTTACAGATGCTCCAGAAGAATAAAAGAGGAAAAAATAATTATACTGCTTTCAGAGAAAAGGCAACAGAGGCGTACTTAAGTCATATGACTAAATGTGAAAGCAAGGTGACAAAATTAAATGCCTAGGTAGTCAGGTAAAGAAAAATGAGTAGAACAAGCTAGGCCCAGAAGCTTAAAACTAGCAAATGGGAAGGGGGCAACCGTAGCACTTGCCGTATTTCAGGAAAATCCAGTTCTAGCTGATGTGGCTCCAACATCACCAAATATTCAGATTTAAAAAAAGAAAAAGGCTAAAATTTGAGATTTTATGTTAAATTAGTAGACAATGTAAATGAAAAAACAAAACTGCTGGCAACTCTGTGAGGGGAGCATTGAGGAAGTTATGAAAACTTACTGGTTGGTTGGTGTTGTTGATCGCTGTAGAATCAAGCACGACTCATAGCAACTCTATGAACAAAGACCTAATGTCTTCCCATAGTTATCTTTGTTTCTCCCAGTTCATAGTTTCCAGAGGCATGTAGTTTAGGAACTGGATGCCACTCCTGTTTCCTACTGGAAGATTTTTAGGGCAGAAGATTTTTAACTTCCACCATGGTGCCTCGACCACATTAGTCCTCTAATGGTGACAAACTTTATTAGATGGCTAGAATATACCCTGCTATCCAAGATTGAGCTTAAGAAATGCTGAGCGAGTTCAGCCCTTTTGATTTTCTGACTCTAGCTCCTCGCAAATTTCATTGGAGTATTTTGCTTTGTCATTCTGAGCAGCCTTTTGGAATCTTCTGTTCAGCTCTTTAGTATCTTGAATTGTTCCTTGTGCTTTAGCTTCTCTATGCTCCAGTGCAATCTTCAGAGTTTCTTCTGACATCCATTTTGGTCTTTTCTTCCTCTTCTGTCTTTGTAATGACCGTTTACACTCTTCCTGAATG